TTTTGGTAGGCGGCGCTAGGCGCTGCCCGGCCGCCCGACTAGCGCCTACTGCAACCTTGAAAATAATAGTTTATATTTTTTAAAATTTTATAGTTGTAGATTTTATATTATATTAAAAATATAGTTGATGATAATTTGAGTAAGAATTATGGTATGATTAATGATTAATATTATTAAAGAGAGAATTTTATATATGATAAATTATAAAATATAATTAAATATAATTATGGTAACATTTAATTAAAATCTAATGTAATCAAATTTATTTCTCATTTAACATGTACACTTTGTGCACAAGAGGTCTTAATCACCTCTGTTAGGTTAATGTCTCTCAATGATCCTCTAGGTTGTTCCTAGTAGAATTCGGACTTCGATATTGTTTTGGACAGTGTAGGGATTTGAGTCCCACTGGAAATCTTGGTCTTTAATTTTTATACAATGTGATGCTGCTTAGTATTTTTTTTTTTTAATGTATGTTTTTCTTTTATAGATTATATTTTGTTATTTTTGTTGATACGAATCAGATGCCTTCTCTTTGTTTGGTTGTGGTTTATTTGAGATGTAGCCATGTAGGTGAAGATGAAGATGTTGATGTATGCAGTATAGAATTAATGGAAAATGATAAGTAAATTGTTAGGGATATAATACTATGGAAATATTATATAGGAGAATGGATTAAATAGCATTTAACCTGGTATTTATTCTGATATTTAAAATCAGTCGGTGTAACTTTCATACTAGATAAACATTGATCTGAAAATTAATTCTAAAATTTAAAATTAGTTGAAACTAATTCCATAGTATCATAATTAATATTTCAAAATAGTATTTCGAACAATACCCTACAGTACCTACGAAACTTACTCGAAAGGTTACGTACGAGAAGTAGGCCAAAGAGTCACATACATTTGTAAAAACAATTAGAACATTGTATTCTAGGCAGACTAGAATTTCTTCTCCCTTTCAAAATTCATTTTGAGATTTGATTTGCACCTCTCCCCCATGCACAGGAGAGAGAGCCTCTGTGATATACAATCCAACTCTCCTTTAAAAGCGTCTTGTATATATAGTGGTTCAAATCTCATTCTTTTCCAACGTGAGACAAATGCTTGTTTCAAGCCTTTTCACCTTCATTTTTCAATTCAAATGGGTTTAATTTGAGAATCAATCTCTTATTTACCCATTACTCGCTTTAAACTGGGCATTTGGTTGGAAGGAAGGAATTAAGGGGGGAAGGAATTGAAATTCGGTCGAAAAAGAATAAAGTGGGAATAAAGTATGAATTACAATTACATTGTTTGGTAGGGAGAAATAATGAAAATAGGAGAAGTGATATAAAGACTAAAATACCCTAATGTAATAATATTAATAATAACATTCAAAGGGCAAATAGGTCATTTCCTTCATTTTCCCTTTTCATTGAATTGTAATTCATAGGGGGGACCTATGAATTGCAATTCAATGAATTGAGGGAATTGCAATTCCATGGAATTGCAATTCTCTCCAACCAAACAATGTAGTTTATCATTTCATTGAATTGCAATTCAATGCCAATGCAATTCATGTCAACCAAACACTCCATAAACGTACAATATATCAATCCCTTCTTCTCACTATAAAGAACTCAAATCCACTTTAACTTGAACCAAATCAGGAGTGGACCAAACATATATTTGTACCACAAAATAATCACTTAAAATGTCATTTTATGCTATTTTTTTTTCAACATAAACTCTCTTACATGCATGACTATATTTTATTAGAATAGGAAAAGGAAAGTAATAAAAAGTAATAAAAATCAAGTTCATTTATTCTTCTTTTAATCAATTCAAACACACCACATCAATGAGTGGATAATAAAATAAAAAATAGTATAATAGAAGTAGAAATATATGTAAAAGATCTCACTTTTACTCCCCCTAACGTATTGCACATATTCCACATTTACAGGCTGATTGGTACACGAAAATTTTAATTCCATTCCCACAAATATCCCTCCACTTTAAACCCAAACTTTATATTATTATTATCATCATCATCATTATTATAATCATTTCTTTTCTTCTTTTTATTTTGAACGGTACCCTTGCTATAGAAAAAAAAAAAAAAAAAAAAAAAAAAAAAAACTGCAATCAGTAAATATTTTATTTACTATTTAAGGGTCAATGAAAAATCATGTTTGTAAAGACTGATTATAATGAGACCAAACTTTTTTTTAATAGAATGAAAAATAAAATTAACACAAACAAAATCACAACATTCTTGGCTAACCTGCTCCAACAAGAAATATCTCATACGAAATATATGTATTGGAATACATAAGTTATCTTAAATGAATGAATTAAAATAACAAATAATGTTAAATCTAAAATCCAATGTAAACATAAAGTATATGAATGAAATTGAAAATTCAATTTGGGTACCATAATTGATAATTGTACATTTGTACCCAACCAAAATAAATAAATGAAAAATATACAATTTAATTTATCCACCTTGCTCATACCATCTTACAAGGTGAGTCGTGATTAATAATACAATTCAACATAGTGCTCGGGATCATTTTTCTTTGTTATTTTATTTATTTTACTTTTTCCATTATGAATGGGAATAGTTATAATAATTGTGATGATTCTGAAGAAGACTGTGCATGGCTCAGCTGGATTGAGGGCCCACCATTCCTTCCAAAATTATTGAATAAATGTGATGAAATGAATCTGCTTGGATTTATGATTCTTTCCCAACTTCTCAACTCTCTCCTCTTAATTACTATATATTGTCACCCAAAAAAAAAAAAAAAAAAAAAAAAAAAAAAAAAAAAAACACATTTTTAGTCTTTCATATACAAGAATTATCGTATTAGTATTAGCCCCTTAATTACATCACCCCTAATTATATACTAAGTGGACAATTTCAAGACATTATATGGGTGATTTTTGCTCATCTTGATAATTGATGGGATTAATTTGACAATTTTATGATTATTTTAGGAACTAAAAATGCCATTAAGTGAAGGAAACCATTGCCAAAAATTCCATTTCATTTTCTTTCTCTTTTTATGAAGAAAACATATTACAATGGCAGTTCAAATGAGATGTTCATGTTCTCCCTACTTCAATTTCTAATGATGCTTTCATGTTTCAAGCAACAGAAATACCTTGGAAATACAGTCCAATAAATACAGAAAGCGCGATGGCGAAGAAGTATGGCCGCTTATCAACACCACCTGATGCTACTCTGCAAACAGAAATAAAGAATCATTTAACCACATCCCTCAATGGTAAGCCACAGTGCCACGGTTTTCGATGGCAGGATGTTGAACTTGGCCCTCCAGGCCGCAATTCCAACAAAATGGATTCGATATGTATATCTAGTTACCTAAAAGTGATGGATATTTACCTGGCAACGGAGGAATTTGTTGTTAGCCCGAATCCAAATGGAAACAGCGGGTCGTAATGCAAGTCACCAACATTCATTGGGAGTTGATCTACGGTTTTAAACCATGTTTTCGAGAGTTTTCCAGTAAAACCATAGTCCCCAAAGAGGACATCCGTCACGCCTTGACCTTCTGTGCCAGGTAACCAGGCTGCTACAAGTGCATCGATTGATGAAACGTATGGTTCTACCACGAGTGGGCGACCAGATATGATGACCACAACGCACTTCACTGATCCACAGACACTTTTAATGACATCAGGCCCGGGGTCTGCTATTTCAAGCGTTGGACTGTCCCCTGCCATCTCAGCATACGGGGGCTCACCAACAACAACGATAGCATAGTTGAAGTCATTTGATTTGATGAAATCAGCGTCAGGAGTCTCCCTGTAAACAACTTCGGTGTCCTTGTCTACTGTAGAGTATATGGCACCAAGGATGGTCGTTCCTGTAAAAGAAGTTCATGTTAGCAAGTTCACTTTCAAACCCAATATGGTTAATTTTGCAGTTTAAAGAATCCATTCTGATAGTAAAGCTGTGTTCTTTTGCAATGTCCCAAAGGAATATGAATCGCAACTTTCTTGGGAACCAAAAGAATCAAAATGACACCTACAGTTAGGGTCTGCTCAGAACACCTCATGGTCTGACCAAAAAAGAAACAAGAATCAAAATGACACCTACAGTTACAGTTAGGGTCTTCTCAGAACACCTCATGGTCTGACCAAAAAAAACAAGAATCAAAATGACACCTACAGTTAGGGTCTGCTCAGAACAACTCATGGTCTGACCCAAAAAAAAAAAAAAAAAAAAAAACAAGAATCAAAATGACACCTACAGTTAGGGTCTGCTCAGAACACCTCATGGTCTGACCAAAAAAAAAAAAAACAAGAATCAAAATGACGCCTACCACTTGTAGCATTGTTGCCACTAAAACCCTGCCAATTGATTGTCCATCCACCACATTGGTAACCCAAGTTATCAGCATGGCTACCAGCAACCAAAATTTTGGGCACCTTCTTGGGAAGAGGTAATAATCTGTCATTCGCAGTTTTCCCATTTTTCAGTAGTACAAGAGATTTCCTAACGGCTTCTCTTGCTAAATTCCTGTGTGCCTGTTTAGATATCACGACACCATTCATTTACAGCAATGGATAATGGCACACAAAATAAATTTACACACACGTCTAGAACCCTAAAATCCAAATATCAAGCCTAAGAGCGCCTACCTGGCTTCCAACCTCGTGGACCAGACTTAGATCAGTGTACGGGTCCTCAAAGAGTCCCATGGTGAACTTAACTAATAAAATCCTCTCTACTGCATCATTAATACGATCCATTGGAACAATGTTGCTCTTTACGAGGGAAGTAAGCTCATCAATGAACTCCGTATACTTGTAAGGCACCATAACCTGCATAGGATCGTTTTGACGCCTCCAAGTTAGGCTTCCTAAGTTGTCAAGAATGGCAAATCTAAAGATCAGAAGTGACTATAAACTGTATTTTTTTTTTTTAAATTTACCATGTCTATGCCAGCTAAAATGCCAGCCTGAACAGAATATGTGTAGTTTGAATCAGCAGGAGAAGTAATCCTGTCAATACCCTGCCAGTCTGATATAACAAATCCCTGGTGGTTCATTATAATCCATTAGAACAGTAAAAGTATACTTTGATTTAACAGAATCAAGGAAATATGACTTTCACTACCTTGAACTTAAGGGTACCCTTTAGGAACCCAGTAATTAGATCACGGTTTGCATGCATTTTCTTTCCATTCCAGCTCGAGTATGAAACCATGATTGTTGAGACGCCTTTAATAATTGCATCGGAATAGGCAGGCATGTGGATGCTCAGTAACGTGTGCATGTCAGTTACAGTGTTACTCTCATCAACACCCTTTGTCGTGCCCCCATCACCAACAAAGTGCTTTGCACAAGCAGCAACCTTCTTTCTGAAATCGGAGGAAGGATGAAGATATTGTTTGAGAAAACCGAGTTCATACACAAACATTTTAATTTGCTGTCATGAAATATGTATGTATTATTTAGCAGTTTTCATACTTTCCATCAACAAAAGGAACACCCTTCCTTGAACCATTCGGGATTTCTCCTTGCAACCCGAGTATAATGTCTGTCATCTCTTGAACAACCTTCTGATCTTCACTATAACTCTCGTAACACCGACCCCATCTAGGATCTCTACAAACCTATGCATAGTAACAAGCAACTGAAGTCTATGGTTTTAAGCATAGTTATGTTTCTAAAGTTGAATGATTTTGTTTGCTCGACTTACTGCAATGCAAGGAGCAAAGACATAAGTAATCCCTGTGGCTCTGACTTCAATGGCTGTAGCATCCCCAATCCTTCGCAAAAGTTCGGGATCCCTGATACATTATTTAAATTAACACATTTAGTAAACTTCAAACTTCGTTATATAATGGAAAGCTAATCAAATATCACACACCAGAAAGCCGCGTGCAAAGTAAAGCATCTTATCAAGCAGAATGGTTCATGCAACTCAGATATTAAAGGATAAACTTCATAGAAAAACAATTACCTAGACTACATTAACTCAATAGTAACAAGTCCAATGATTTTCTTCAGAAACAGTAGGGTGCATGAACTTACATAGAAACAATAAAACAACTTTCTTCAACAATCTTGAAAGAGAAATATAGAATGATGGAAGAATTGAAAATAAAAACAAAAAGTTAAATATAACACTGAATAGCTAGGAAATCACCCTTCAATCAAGAATGCCAGATTTGATGAGGCAACTATATCCTCTTTTTTTTTTTTTGGTCAGGCCATAAGGTGTCCTGAATCGGCCCTAACTGTAGGAGGCACCTTTAAGCCCGTACCGTACTCAGACTAATGCACTGGTCCAGCCCAATTAAGGGATAAAGTGCTGGCCAGATTGATTTTTCCATACAAGAGGGGTTTCGAACTCCGACCTCTCTTAAAGGATGAGAGTGCACGACCATTCATGCCAACCAAGTTAACTATATCCTTATTTTACATGCCAGTAGGGAACTTCAATCCAAAACACTAATTACTTGCCTAGTAGCTCCAAGGCCAATATTATGTGGGAAAATGGTAGCATTATAGACATTGTTGTGTCCATGGACAGCATCAATCCCATATATCATTGGGATCCCAAGACGGGAAGATAATGATCCATTCTGGAAGCCATTAACCATTGCAACCCAATCTGCAGCAGTAGCTTGAGGAAGCGGTATACTCCCTCCCCCACTCAACACGCTGCCTACATTAAACAATCAAGAATCAATTTTCTTCAGTCTTTAAAGCCAATAATTAGTCTTTAAAATCGGAAAAGCCAACATCTTTCTTACTAATCAAGAACAACCCACTAATCTAAATTCTAAACCAGTAAAATAGACACTAAAATCAAGAATGGGGAAAGTATAGGAACAGTAGCCTCACCAATGAAGTAATCCCTCATGACTTGAGCAGAGGCGACACTCCGATCAATCTGAACCATCTGCCCAATCTTCTCCGCCAGAGTCATCCGCGCCAGCAGATCCTTCACTCTGGCCCCCACCGGCTGCTTCGGGTCCTTGTACTTCTCTTGAGCCATTGCAGCCCCGCCGCTCCACCACAAGACCAACACTCCCACCCACCACAACCGCAACACTCTACTGGGAACACCCATTGCCTTCTCGACAAGCTAGCTACAAGTCCTACAAGCCCACAAAACCATAAATATCGGCCTTGGAGCTGAAGAGCACAGCACTGCTTTTGTAGATAGAAAATGGTGGGAATGCTGCGGTTTTGATGGAAATGCACTCCGATGGGAAAGAGTAGACCAGTAGTGGGGTTTAACCAACAAGGAGGTAAGAGATTCCTTCGGAAGAAATGGGAAGAACGTGGTCGGTTGAATGAAATTTTGGTTTTTTATTTATAGAAAATAAATATGAGTAAACATGTTTTGTTTTTAAAATATAAAGTATTATAAGCTAACTAGTTATATAATTTATAAATTTATTTTGAGAATGTAGTATTTTGTGTGTGATGTTGTAGGTAAGGAGAGAACGAGGAGATAGAAACGAGAAGAGAGAGCATTGGGAGTTACATGAATTGAAATTCGGTTTGAGAATGACGGGATATACCAGTTTGAGAATTGTGGAATATATTCTCACTCTGATATATTATATATATGTTATTGTCGTATCTTATATCATTGTTGGAGTACGTCATAACTTTAAATTATGTGATCTATTATTTGAGCTACTAAAGCTTAATTTTTTAAAAAAGATTGTATATTCATATCACTTCACACAAGAAATGACAATGGATTGGACTCCCATATGTGAGGTTGTGAGATAGAGCATCAGTGAAGCGTTATTGGCTCTTTGTGCTTCAGTAGGTTGATAAAGTAATTATGAACAGATACTACATTGTAATAGAGTCAGTATCATTCAAACAAAAAAAAAAAAATCACTTCACACAAGAAATGAGAAAAAAAGAGTATGTCAGTGAGCTAAATAGTTAATATTTGAAAGATGTTAGGTCATTGATTAAGAATATGATTCATCAACTATTTAAATGATTATTAAAGTGTGTTTGATGATTTCATCATTATGTGATTTAATGATTTATGGACTCTTTTTATTTATTTAAATATAAATTTAAACTTTAAATTTGAGGTTTCTTCACCGCTCCTGTCACATGTCGAAGAGGTAAATTGCAAGATATGTTGTACCAGCAACAAAGTCTAACCCATACCTCATTTTAGATTGCATGGAGAAAATGTCAATGTTTTGAGAACGCATTCACTATAACATGCGCGCAACATGCACCCCTAAGCACATAAAGGCGTGTTCACTACAACATGCGCGCAACACGCACCCCTAGGCACGTAAAGGTTATGTTTTTAATTATTTTTTCTCTCTTACCTTTGACTTCTTTTCTTTTTTTTTTTTATTTTTTAAAGGGAGAAGTGTCAAATAGGCCCATGTACTATTGTCAAGTGCTCAATTCTCACTATGAACTAAATTAAAGGCTAATTAACCACACTTACCTACTAAATTTGTTCAATTAACTTTTAACTTTTTTTGCAGGTAAATGACTTTTTTTTGCAGGTTACCAATTCAATTATTAAAAAAATAATTTCAAAATAATTTAAAAATTATTACCAAAAAAATACCGCCTTTTTTTTAAATAATTAAATAGGTAACCTGTTATTAACCTGTAAAAAAAGTCAATTGAATAAATTTAACTCATAGATGGATCTATTTGACACTTAATTTAGTTCGAGGTGGAAATTGCACTTCGCAGTAGTAAATAGGCCTATTTGACATTTGTACCTTTTTTAAATTATGCCTATGCCTTAGGTGCTTCAAAATCCATCTAGTGTGAATGCCCTTGGGGTGATTTGTACTTCTCTCTCAATTCAAAAAATCAACTTCTTCATCTCTTCCAATGCAAAATTAGACTCCATCTCCCCTTCTTCCCAAACAAAAACCCCACACCCTAAACCATCCTAGGAAAAAAATCAATACATCCAAGATCCAACAATCTAGTTAAGCATTTATATATACACAAATATATGACCAACACTATATTTTCATAATTAATATATCTTATGTTTTTTACACCTTAAAAACTTTTAACCGCTCCCCCATAAAACACATAACGAGACTTTCAAACCACCGACAATATCAGATTACCTCATGAAGTGTATGTTGATTATATTAAGATTACATCTATAATGCAATGATTATTCCACCATAATCTCAAGTATGAACTCATTACAAAAAAGCAACAGCAAGTTCTTGGTAATGAAATAGAGCTAGAACCACAAGTCCAAGAAAGCGCCAAAGTATGGAATTCTTGTAACCCCTCCCCTCTTACATTACCATACCTCCGTCAATAGTCAAAACCTGTACAATGATAACAAACAATTATAAAGGATGAAAATTTCCATTGTCACAAAGGATTATACAACAGTCTGGAGGGTTGAGTGCATTTTGTCACCGGAAAGTCGAAAACATTGTGGGAAAGCAAAAGCTCATTCTGTATTAGTCAGCCTAGCCAAGTTGGTCAGACTGTTGACTTAGTAACTACAATGTTCAAAGTTTGACTCCCACCAGGAACGGCCTATTGGGCTTCTTAATTTGAGTCGGTCAACTATGAACAACTAGGCTGATTTACCTCATTGTGGTCCTCTATGTAGGGTTTACCCAATTCGGGTTTCCCTCGTCACCCAAAAACAAAAAACTCTCATAAGAGCAAACTTTAAAAAGGAAGGATGTCACAGAACCTGTCCTGTCATATAGCTTGCCGCAGGACTCAATGCCAAGAATTCTACTAGTCCAGCAACTTCTTCCGGCTGGCCATACCTTGCTGAAATAATGAAAAAAAAAAAAAAAAAAAGGAATTTTAGCCATAAATATATTATAAACAACGTTGTGTTTACAGTCTCTTATATGCATTCCTGTTAAAGAATGTTTTGTTCAAATGATGAAGGTATTATATAAACAGTGGCAGGAGAGAGGCAGATATCTCGCCTAATGGGATTTGTTCCAAAATCTTTTTCTCAATGTCTCCCCCTAGCTTAGAGGTCATATCAGATGCAATGAACCCCGGAGCAATAGCATTCACCTGTAAAATAAAAATTAAACAAAAAAAAAAAAACAAAACGTTTTAGTTAGTTATGCGCATATTACTCCATAGGAACTAGTGTGTTTCAATAGAAAAGTCTCGAGAACCCACGGTAATCTTCCTACTTGCATATTCCTTTGCCACACTTTTAGTCAGTCCAATTACACCTGCTTTTGCAGCACTATAGTTAGCTTGCCCAAAATTGCCAACAAGCCCAACAACTGAGGCTATATTGATTATTCTTCCCTGAAAGGCCACAAAAACGAATTTCTTCTCAGTGTCACCAATAGCTGTCTAGTTAATTTAATTATTATATCCACAAATTTAACGCCAAATTCCAAACTGGATTACAGCTTACTAAATCAAGGACACAAATTTTATGCAAATGGGAACTTCTAAATAGGATTACCTTTTTCTTCTTCATCATTATTTTGGCAGCTGCCTGCAAAAAGTACAAAACATAGACCCAGAAAACCAAATGTAAGTATCCATGGAAATAGGTAGTTAGTCATATGTATGTAATGCTTACCTGTGTACAGAGAAAAACACCGGTGAGATTCAGATCAATAACATCCTGCCATTGAGATTTAGACATCCTCATTAGCAAACCATCCTTAGTAATGCCTGAAATCAAGGAAGCTGTTTTAGCCAACAACATTTCGACATTCTTATGCTATGAAGCCAACAAGTTTATGTCTAAATAACCTGCATTATTGATCAATATATCCACAGTTCCCCACGCATCGACTGCCTGTACAATAAACTAAAATTAGAACACCGACTTGCAAACAAATTTACGGAATTTAAAGATTGTTCGCTCACAGTTTTCATCATTGATTCCACATCAGCCTCTTTCGAAACATCTCCACCAAAAGTAAGAGCCTGGCCACCACTTGCCTCGATCTGCAAGACACAACATAGTTAAAATGGAAGATCCCTCTATTTTTGGGTGTAGGCTCAGCGTTTCCACTGTCAGACACAGTAACTAATCCCCTCGCTGAATTGTAGGATCCCTGTATAAATGACACTCTACTAGACTACTACGAGTTCTTCTGCTAACTGAAACTGCTAATTCTAGCATTCAACTTATTAGAATGTTGGTGCAAGTTTAGGAATTCGAGAGATTTTAAAAATCCCATAAGTTGTGTCATTATTTGTTTCCATAGCGTGTATTATCATGCTTCTATGTATAAATAAATAGTTCCCTCTGCTGCAATCATGATTCATTCAATAAAATACACAACCTCATTATTTGGTTTCTTGATTTCTAAGACAGCTTATAGAAGGCCAAAATGGAAACAATAATATAGTGTGAGAATCAATGTACACAAATTGTCTTTACTTAAAAATCTGCGGGAAGTATGAAAAAGACGGAACATTGTGAATCTATGAAGGGGGTAAGAATATAGCAATTTGCAAATGTTGTGGATATGTTATTAACCGTCTTTAGGGACTTATGGAATTGTCTTTTGATAATTTCACGTAGAAGCTGGCCATTTACCTCTTTGCAAACTTCTTCCGCCTCCTTTGAAGACCTTGCGTAGTTAACCAAAACCTACAACAAGCAATCCATGACAAACATTCTCATTACAGCAACATGAATTTCTGAAAAGAAGTATAGTAACACTGCGAATTTGAAATCTTAATCCATGGGAGGATGATTGCAAGAATGCCAAGAATTACAATACCTTACACCCTGCTTTCCCTAAAGCCAAGGCAATGGCTTTGCCAATTCCTCTAGAGGCTCCAGTGATAACAACTACAGGGGCTTCTACTTTTGGAGTCACTTCAGTACTTGCCTGTTCCACTGCAGCAACCTGAGCTTTAACACCTACACAAACCATAATAACCTAAGATTGGGCCAATGCCCCTGAACTGGGCTACAATACACATAGCTAGTTAGCTTAGACGCCACCAAGATACCATGTTATAATCTAGGAATAGGCCAATGTTGCTCAAGTAGTGGACCAAACCATCTCGAATCAATTAGCTAGTTTAACACATCCCTGTTTGGTAACATAGTTAGCTTATCAGCCAATTTTGGCTTATTTGACCACTATTGGCTGTTTAACTTGGTTAAATAATCAATATGAATGTTTGATTAATTAGCCTATTGTAACAACCTATTGCTCCAAATTGCTAAAATTCAAAAAGCTGCTCAAAGTAGCTTTTTCAATCAACGTTTTGAGCAAGTCATTTTGCATGTAATCAGCTATAAGCTAACAACTAATTTATCAAATACTTCTCTACAAGCAACTAATGATATCAACTAGTTAAACCCACTAACTCAATCATCTAACAACTATTTAGCAAACATCCCCTAGCCTTATAAGCCCATATGTTTCTCTCTTATTTTTCGTGAGACTCTTAACAATTAGTAAAATGAAAATCAAATGAATGACTGCTCACAAATATAAGGTTGGTAGTTCTAAGTGGCACCACAAAAGAATATAAGACTACTTTGAAATCATTGAACCAATTTGTAAGGATAATAAAAATCACTAATGAAAAAAAAAAAAAAAAGTAGTGTTTAAATTATCTATATTCACTATATTGGTATTAAAATCTCAACACCCAAAATAGAAAATATCTTGAAACCAATTCAAAACTAAAAGTTCTGAAGTTTCTTGCCAAAGCTTAAATCTTTTTTGAGTAGAGAAATACATACTACACAGTATACACAAACTTTACCAACTGTATTAGAGCTTGGAACTTGGAAATATTACCATAGCGAGAGAAGGAGCTTTTGGATCCACATTTCAAGGAAAACCCGGATCCACAGTGGAGCTTAAGCGGCGCGGAAGATTGGCGCAGCTGAGTGAATTTATGGTGGCCGGAGAGTGAAGATTTATCGGAAATTCCGGTGTCCCTGAAGGCAACGACGGCAGATCCTGCGGCAAATGTAGCCATGCTCCTAGAAAACAAAGAAAGATTGTGGATTTGTTGATACGAAATGGGAAAGAAGTACGGATTTTTATGTTCTATAAAGCTTGGCTTCGAAATCTCCGAAGAGCGGGCGATTAATACGACGTTATTTTTGGTTGGGACTTTCGTGTGATACTGTGATGTAGTTGTTGAGCCGACTACTTCAAGTAAATTATGAATTGTCCCCCAATATCTCTTGTGTTGTAAAAGCATCCACATTAGTGTAGTTTGTACGATTTTTTAAAATAACTTTCGTGATGTGAATGAAAGAAGGTAAAAAGAGAGAAAAATTAGAGTTCTTCCGGCTTTACTATTGAGGATGCCCCTCAAAGTAGATTCCCAATAGCTAATTATTTCATGTTAAAATCGGTGAACATTAAATCTGCATCTGTCAAAAACTTTGTAATTGAACGACATAGTTGTGACTTATCAAATAAGAGGTTCCAGGTTCGAACCTTACCGTATGAGCTTTGACTCTTCGTAATAGAGTCAGTAGCATTCAAACAAAAATAATAATAATTTGGTATCTAACTTGTACTATTATTATTTGACATGACGATAATATGATATTGTTTTGAAATGATGTGGTATTGTAATTCTCTTTCAAAGAACAATTAGATAGTTTCTTAATTTAGTATTTTTGTCAATCTTAAATTCTTAATTTATTGGTCTGCTTTAAAATGTCACTAGAATGTTAAAGTTTAATATAAGCTCATATCAATAAGACAATAATACACTGTTCAATTACACTATATTTTTTTACCACCGAAATCACAGTGTTTGGTTGGAGGGAATTGCAATTCATACTCTCCCTCATGTGAATTGCATTTCAATGGTGAAATGAAAGGGAAAAGTGATGAAAATGACTTTTTTATCATTGATTATTATTCCAATTCCGTCTGCTTAAGGGACAAGGTGTTGAACCACTACGGCAACCATGTTGCATTGCTTCTATTTATGTAGGTTAACTACCTAACTCTTCTAATCAAATTAAATAACTACGAACATAAGAATTTATTTTAAAATATATAAACACATGTATACTTTATTATATAAACATATATTAATTTCATTATTATTATTAGGGAAAATGGCACTTTTTCCCCCTGTGTTATATGCTTATAGCATTTTTTCCCCTGTGTTATTCATGCATTCACATTTGCCCCCTCAATTATTATAGAAGTGGCGGTTTTTCCCCCCTGATAATATTAAATGGACATTTCTACCCTTAAAACAAATGTTTTATTTATTTATCTTCTTCAACAAATTATTGCTTATACGTAGGGATGACCACGGTTCGGTTCAAACTGAACCAAACACTATAGCAATCAAATTAAAAAATTTCGGCTATGATTCATAACATAACCCAATATTTGGATTTCCGTTTATTAAAATCGTGAACTGGAAAAAAATGGATCCTGAACCGTGAACCGGAGGTTCAAATCGGAACAACTACTAGCAATAACTTAAATTATAATTATAATATTTGCAAATAGTGTATGTTTTTTTCCGCATTTATATTGACTCTCACATATAAGTATATATAATCGCGGTTTGAGTTTTATTTTGAACCGTCGGTTCACGATTTTGGATCCAATTTGAACGGTTGGTTCTAACTTTCTTTTAAAATTTTATTTTTTTATTTTTAAAATATTTTAAATTCAACACTTAATGTATTTTATTTTTTCAAATCGTGGTTATAATTTGTTGGAGAAGAAAAATAAATAAAATATTTATTTTAAGGGTAAATATGTCAATTTAATATATCAGGGAAAAAAACTGCCACTTAAATAATTTAGGGGGAAAAAGTGTCATTTTCCCTTATTATTATTATTAGTTAACAAGGGCAAAATTGGAATAATTCAAGGTAATCTAAGATTACCTAAAAAAAAATGGGGATAATCACATTACCTTGAAATATTACCGCCACATAAGCTTTCAGGTAATATAACATTACCAGGTAATCTTATAATTTGAACCAATCAAGATAAATATAATATTACCAGATTCAGATTACCTAGGTAATCTAAGATGACCTGAACCAAAAGCCCCTAAAGATTATTTTGAATGTTTGGCTATCCTAATTGGGTAACCTAGTTGATTAATTTGTGTTGTTTTAGTTTCAATTGTTCTGAAGTTTAACCCCTGAGGTTTAAGGACATTTGAGTTTGATCCTTGGGATTTTAGAATACCACTACTACTATACTTGCGTTTTTCGGGACAGAACTCTCACAGAGCAAAAACCCCGCCATGAGAGAATAAGAAATGCATTCCAGGATAGGGTTTCTCTTGGGATGCACCAGAAGATCTTCGCATTCACTTCTCTCAGCTATTTTCTCGTACCCTGCGGCCCATCAAGTCCGAACAGTCGGTTCACATATCTGCCGGCGTGCTTTACTTTCTGGCGGCAATGTGAACTTATGCAGGTCCCAGTGGAGGGTATTCTGGCTGGGGGAACGCCGGTTTTGTGGCTACGCCGTTGAGCAGTTCTCGGATGACGAATACGAATGCGATTACGAGTCTCATCCGGTAATTTTCAATTTTACATACTTTAGCTCTTTTGCCTTTTCCCATCCTCTGTTTTATTAGTTGAAAAATAAGATTTTTTTTGGTTGTTTTTATAAAATTTAAATAAGCTTGAAAAATTGAATCTTGAAATTGTTGGAAAATAGTCTTCTGCTACAGCATTTGAAGGAATGACTTCTATGCAACAAAACTTTTTAAATAAATTTTCTTCTCATCTTTTAAGTTTTATTTTTGAATATTCAATTATTGAGTTTAAGGAATGAATTGGGTGGTGTTGTTTGGCAAAATTTGTTTTTTTTTTTTTTTTTTTTTTTTATTGTAAATTTAGATAGTGAGACTCATTATCTAACACACGAATAGAGTTAACACTTATGTTTACATTAATACTTATGAAACAATGTAAAAACTTATTGTTTAGAGTTGGATAGATTTAAACTATGAAGGCAAGTGATTCTAAAAGCAAGAATTAATTGTAGGCATCATCATCAGTTGCCAACATTGACGAGTGGAAATGGAAACTTAGCTTACTGTCGCGCAGTGAGGACCAAGAAGTTGTATCTAGAGATAAAAGGGATAGAAGAGACTATGAGCAAATATCTAACCTCGCCAAAAGGATGGGCCTATACAGGTATGCTTCTATATTGTGTTGCTTCTCGTTATCGTTATGTCAATTCTGGAGAACCTTACTCACTTTATCTCCTTTTCCCAGTGAAATTTATGGGAAAGTAGTGGTTATAAGCAAGGTTCCTCTTCCGAACTACAGACCAGATCTTGATGATAAGCGGCCTCAAAGGGAGGTGAATTTCACTCCTATGTGATACATTAACTTTCACTTGATTTTGCTATGGTTTCATCTCACATTGATGAGATTTTATTAAAAGAAGAAATACATAAATAATAAATGAAGGAAAATGGAAATGTCATTGTCTGATCCAACCTACCAAGATTTCAAATTATTCAATGACAATTCCCTTCGACCTGGAATATGCACACTGTTGAGTTTTCATACTATTATTCTTTCAGATTTAAAGATATAGCTCTTAGTGTTAAATTATTTTATCCAGATAAGGTCCATAAATCCTGTTAATTTCACCGAGTTCATCTATGGCTGTGCACATGTCCAGGTTGTCATCCCACTAAGTTTGCAAAGGAGAGTGGAGGGCTTGCTTCAGGAACACCTGGACAGAATCCATCTCAGTTCTGAGAAGTCAGATGGTATGCCTAGTGAAAGTCTGGCCGCTGATAAGGTTGAAAATGTAACTATGGATGAAAATCCAGATTCTTTCTTAGATGACTCTGTTATGGAGAAGGTTCTTCAAAGGCGAAGCTTGCGCATGCGCAATTTGCAAAGAACTTGGCAGGTCTCATTATATTGGCTTTTTTCCTCTCTTGTGCAAAATTTTCTTGTGTATCAAATGCTTATCTAAAATCCGTAGTATGCATGTTTTTCTCCTGGGCTTCTCTGCTACTCACCAAAAAGGTAAAGTAGGTTATGTGCACAAGACTTTTGCAGTATCTGGCAATAAATTTCGATAAATGTCCGTGCTGCATCAACTCTCCTGTTTACATTAATACTGAATTTCCAGTAGGACTAATTTTGCTTGATACAATTTGCACCTTTCTGATAAGGTTTGTTGTCATCATACACATTATACAGTCATTTCTTGGTGCTTTATTGACAGTATTTCTAGATACATTATCAACTCTGACATTTTGTATGATGAAGTCTTGTCCTTGCATTCATGGTTGCCTACATTAAATATCCTTAGGCTTTAACTGTCCAATTAGCTATTCTTCATACCCTGTTTGATGTAGTAGGTATATAATCTGGTAGATTGGTAGTGTTTGGGGACAAATGTTAGTTCTTTTTTATTGGTTTTGGTATTTTTGGCTACTAACAATTCAGAGCATTTACCCTTACCAGTGATGGATGCAGGATTTTTAATGAGTGGGGGTAAACTTAATTAAATAAACATTTTCTAATTGAGCGCAGTCAAATTACTCTAAATTGTGGGGATAATAGTATATGTAGATCTACATCCAGATCCTATCTTCTCAACATGGTGATTGAAGCCTAGTATGTTCATGGAATCTTTTGCAGAAAGATATGTAGAATGTAGATACACACCACAAAATTGCTCAATTAGAATAGGTTCAGGAATCTCTTTGGGCATTTACCTTATAACAGTTTCCTTACAAGAAATATTTATCTTTCCTTTTTGGTTTCAATTGATGATTTACATTTTTCTCATTCAATCCTTGTACTTGGGAATGTTTGTGCTGATGGAATGCAGGAGTCACCTGAAGGCCACAAAATGATAGGTTTTCGGAAATCTCTTCCATCATTTAAGGAAAAAGAAAGGTTGCTTCAAGCAATTGCTTGCAATCAGGTTTGATTACAGGACTGACACTATTTTCTCACTCTCCAAAATCTATCTGGATATTCAATATTGTAACAGTGATATATTACATTTTCTTGATTTTCAAAATCTATTTGCATATTAAGATATCCTACTTTATCTTTATTAAAACAGGTTGTGGTAATTTCTGGTGAGACTGGATGTGGTAAGACTACCCAACTCCCTCAGTACATTTTGGAATCTGAAATTGAATCTGGTCGTGGTGCATTCTGTAGCATAATTTGTACGCAGCCTCGAAGAATATCTGCAATGGCTGTTGCAGAAAGAGTGGCTACAGAGAGGGGTGAACCTCTTGGAGAATCTGTATGCTACTTTCCCTTTTATTTGTTTATTTATTTATCATTTTATGTTTCTACTCCAATTTAGTTGAGCAGTAGTTCTCTTTTTGTGAAGCATAGTTCTTCTGAATTTCAGATCTTTTTTAGTTAGCTTATTATCTCCAATTTGAAAATTTCTTTATTTAGTTGCTGTCCTTCACAGAAAATTTTTGATAGGTTGGTTATAAAGTGCGATTGGAGGGGATGAAAGGAAAAAATACACATCTTCTCTTTTGTACTAGTGGTATTTTGCTACGGCGGCTATTGAGTGATCGAAATCTGGATGGTATTACCCATGTCTTTGTTGATGAGATTCATGAGCGAGGCATGAATGAAGGTAATGAGTTAACATATCTGGTTTAATCTTTCTCAAGTCAAAGAGTATTCAATTTGATTTTGTTGTGCTGTTTCTTCTCTTTTCTCATTGCAGACTTCTTACTGATTGTGCTAAAGGATCTTCTTCCAAGACGGCGAGATTTGAGACTGATTTTAATGAGTGCTACTCTTAATGCCGATTTATTTTCCGGTTATTTTGGAGGAGCACCAACGATTCACATTCCAGTAAGTTTTTGTTCTGTCTTAAGTTCTTAGTTGCCAACTATATTCTTATAATAAACAAAATAAATATAAAGGGAGGATTTTTTGTTTTTGTTTTTGTTTTGTTTTGTTTTTTTTTTAAATTTATGTGTGTGTTTATTAAGTATTACAATGGGCTACTATTTACAAGTGAACTCTCTAACATACATACATAAAACATGATGTGGGACATGTCATGTGATGTGAGACCCCTGATCTGTGATCCAAGTTTTTTGTTTTTTGTTTTTTTTTTTTGTTTTTGTTTTTGTTTTTTTTTTTTTTGTTTTTAAATAATAATTTACTCCAATAAGACCTCCAGCTTTTCTATGCATGCACAAATTCAATGCATCAATACTTCTGGATAGTGTTTTGTGCTTTTCTTCTCCTTATTTTTTGTTATTTAATTTAATTAAAGGGTGTACAATGTCGAGCCCTGCTGGCAAACTGAGCATATATGAATGGTTTGGTTTTGGCTAATGGGGCATGTAACAATTGTAGGGCTTCACATACCCTGTAAGAGCTCATTTTCTTGAAGATGTACTGGAAACGACAGGATATAAGCTGACTTCATTCAACCAAATTGATGACTATGGCCAAGACAAGATGTGGAAGACACAAAAACAGCTAGCGCCTCGAAAAAAGAAAAATCAGATTACTGGGCTTGTTGAGGTGGGTAGCGGTTCTACCTAAATGTATTCTCCATGTGTAATCTGTAATCATAACTTTTTCCTTTATAAATTTAGCCTTTTGTACTTTCTTTTACACTTCATAGTGATTGCCTTGCTTTAATGGATGGATCCCCTTTTTCCATCACATTAATATGCTTCATTTGCTCATTAATTTAATATGTTTTATGTTTCTTAATCTTCTGTTTTTTTATTTTTATTTATAAATAATAATTCTGTTGCTACTTTCCATTTAACCCACCTGTTTTTTCCCTCTTTATTTGCATGAATTTTATCTTTTTTTTTTTTTTTTTTCTCTGTTTTAACTTTTACATGATACACTGGATTGTAAATTTGTCTGTTTCATCTTCCAGGATGCTCTCAATAGATCGAACTTTGAGAACTACAGTGCCAGGGCACGAGATTCCTTGGCATGCTGGTCTCCTGATTCTGTTGGTTTCAACCTTATTGAGGCTGTCTTGTGTCATATATGTCGGAAGGAGAGACCTGGTGCTGTGTTAGTATTTATGACTGGTTGGGAAGATATTAGCTGTTTGAGGGATCAACTTAAAGCTCATCCCCTCTTGGGTGACCCCAACAGAGTATTGGTGCTTACATGCCATGGTTCAATGGCAACTTCAGAGCAGGTAAAACTGCCTCTCTTTTCTTCTTTTGTTAGATTTTAGTTTTATAGTTTCTTTTTTCTCATCACTGTGAAGAGAATATTTCCATTATCTTATGCTTTCATAATTTTTTTTTAAACTAGTATTGTTGCTATTATTATGTTCTTGACAATTGGAAACCTAAAAAATTTGAACTGCCTTATTTGACAACTGAAGTTGATTTTAAGAATGCTCCAATCATTTCATGGTATATTTCATTCCATTTGTTTTCAGAGACTTTATGTTTCTGATGATGTCTGCCTCCAGTTTCAGATTACTACTCATCTATTGGGGAGCCACATATTATGGCCTCCTTGGACTGTGAAAGATGTTCCACTCTGAAAACAATCTTGTTATTGCTTTGACTCATTCCCCAAAATGGGATCCTGCTGCATTCTCTAATAGCTCCCAAATATTAACTGTCTCCAACTGTGCATCAATTTAAGGGGCTTTATATTCAACCAACAACTTCTTCACTCTCATATACAGTATATACTATAGAGCATTTTGCTTGGAAAGATAATAGTCCATACTGTCATCTCTAGGAATCTAGTCCATTCCATTGGTTAAGATCAAGCAATGGTTATTAATAAAACCCTACAATTTATATTACATAAAAGAAATGAATTAAGGACACTAATTCAATTATATGCTATTAATGGACAAACTTGGGTTTTTGTACCCAATACAATGTTAGTTCAGAATCATAGGATCCTTTGCTATCAGATAGGAAAGGCATGTAGAACAAGACAAACTTCTAAGTTCTAATTGCAGATAATATTAGTTTAGGATCATAGGATCCTTTTCTACAAGATAGGAAAGGGATGTAGAACAAGACATACTTCTATGTAACTGGTCTTCTTGTCTTCATCTTCATCATCTTCTCTTCTTCTATGGAGCATTCCAAGCCAGTTAGCATTTAGAGATAATTCTAAGCTTTCTGCTTGATGTCTTGCTAGGATTTGGTTGACGTTGTTATTAGATTCTTGCAAACTGTTGATTGTTTTTCTAATCCCTTCACTCTATATTTATAGTTTTGTGTTGAATGATTATTTTGCTTATTTGTATTTTTAGCTGATAAATGGACTGGTTTTATTGCTCGTATTCATTTTCAGCAATTGAGAGAATAAGAGGGGAAAAGGAGATAGTTAAGTTGTGAGATTTGGTATTGTGGTCCTAGAGATTTGACTCCAATTCTCTGTAATCCTTTAAATTTGGCATAATCCTTTTTATGGAATTCTTTACTTATAGTGACAGCTTTTTATGTTTTCTGTTGACATTGCCATTTTTTAAATTCTGATATTTTATCATAGTCCCTAGGATCTAAGTGCACGTCATTTTTTTCCTATTCTCTGTACCTTTATGCACAAGTCACAGATCCCTTAAACGGTGCAATTTATTTCCTTGTGAGTTGGTTTATGATTTTAGTTTTTACCAACAGAACTCAAATTTGAGGAGCCACTTCAAAGTGTTTGTAAAATAGTACTTGCTGCAAATATAGCCTATGACTTGTGTGCATTTCATGTTCATCTTTCCTTCTTCGTCTCTCTCTCTCTCTCTCTCTCTCTCTCTCTCTCTCTCTCTCTTTAAATGTATTTTTATACACAAGTTGCAGATCCATTAAAACACTGTAACTTATTCCCTTGTGAATTTTTTTTTACCAACAGAAACTCATATTTGAGAGGCCACCTCAAAATGTTCGGAAAATTGTACTTGCTACAAATATGGCTGAGGCGAGTATTACTATTAATGATGTAGTGTTCGTAGTCGATTGTGGAAAAGCAAAGGAGACAACTTATGATGCGCTCAATAATACACCTTGTTTGCTACCTTCGTGGATATCACAAGCCTCTGCTAAACAGGTAATTATTTTCTCCACTTATGCTTTACTTTAATGAGAAAATGTTAAACAATGAACTCAACTGTATATTACTATATGTTCTGTGTCAATGTACAAGGAAGTATAGAGCTATTTATATAAGACAAGAACTAATCCTAGCCATAGATTTCAAACACCTAAAACTAAGGCTAAGAGAGATCCTCTCAACTAACACCCTATTCCTCTAACACTCCCCCTCAAGTTGGAGCATCCAACTTGTTACATCTGTATCACATGAACCATAGGACTCCACACCTAGACTCATAACTTCCAAGGCTAACGCCCAAGTCTTTAACCACTCGAACAACCTTCGAACCACGCTGTGCCAAACCAGTCCACAACGCACCTTGTCGCACCAACAACGCTTCTACGGAGCCAACAAAAGCTAGGCCAATCACCACAGTGCCGCACTTGCCTCTCACACCCCACACCTTTATCACCGCTGCCTAACACCACAACGTACCTGCCTCTCACTCCACAAACCATTAGCGCTGCTAGACCACAGTGCACCTGTCCCTCTCACCATGCACCCTTATCGACGCTGCTTAACACCACAACGTTCCCTGGTGCATGCACGTAAACCGATTCATTCTGAATCATTCTTCAGCCGTCGGCCTCCCCCGCGGCATATGCTAGGTCCGCCCCACTCCGGGCACCTGTGCCGCCCACTCCTGCAGCACCCCTGTTTACGCACACTGAACAAGCTGCACTTGACTCAACTCAAACCCTAGAATTGCTCCCATACCAAATTAACTTAAAGCGACAAACTATGATAAACAAAACACAAAGCTCAAGACTTATTAATACGATAAACAAAAGAACTTACTGCCTAATTATTCCTCGTTAGTAGCACAAACCTAACCACACAATTTTATTTTGTAGCCATGAGACCACCCAGCTTCGTGGACCTCAAACCACCCAGCTTCATGGACCTCCCCTACCATCTCTCTCGGCTGTCTCTCTTTCTCGGCTGACTGGTGAACAAACAGATCCTCGCTGCCGTCGTCGGGGGTTATGAACCCAAACCCCTTCTGGTCACTGAACCACTTGACGCAAGCCTTCATCCTCTGTTCACTCTCCTCCCCTCAGCCATTTTTTTCACAAACCCTACCTCTCTCTCTAGCGATTTTTCTCTCTCGCTGGTTTCCTTCTCTCGCGACCAGCAACAATCTTCAGTTTTCCCAGCTGGAACTTCGCACCACTTACGCAACAGGAGGTGAGGACACCGCAACCATAAAAAATCTCCTCAACACCGGGCTACACCACCACTGCAGATGTGTCGGGCGTACAGAGACGAGCCCAATAGTGCAAGCCGCGACCGGAGAAGATGTCGGACCAGTGCGCACGCGCCGGCGCGTGGCGTCGGAACCCTAGGACTGCGCCGGCGCGTGAGGACTCCTCCAATCCCGTCAACGTCACCTCCTCTTTCCGACCAACACCCACTACCCATTCACCTCAATCTCGCTTTGATACCATGTTAAACAATGAACTCAACTGTATATTACTATATGTTCTGTGTCAATGTACAAGGAAGTATTGAGCTATTTATATAAGACAAGAACTAATCCTAGCCATAGATTTCAAACACCTAAAACTAAGGCTAAGAGAGATCCTCTCAACTAACACCCTATTCCTCTAACAGAAAGTTACTACTCCGTTTGTAGTATCACCTTATTGATAATAACTTACTTTACATCACCCTTTTATTATGAAAATAACCAGGCGATGGGCAACGCCTTGATAACACTGAAAATAACCATCTTTTATTATGATTTTTAGAGAAGGGGTAGGGCTGGTCGTGTGCAGTCAGGCGAGTGCTACCACTTGTACCCACAATGTGTTTATGAAGCTTTTGCAGAGTATCAATTACCCGAACTTCTAAGAACTCCTCTAAATTCTCTTTGCCTGCAAATAAAGAGTTTGCAAGTTGGAAGTATTGCAGAATTTCTCTCTGCAGCTCTTCAACCACCAGAACCATTGACGGTAAGTAGTTACTCTTCTTTATGTTGTGTGAAATGTTTCAAATGTTACTAGAGATCCATGCTATAGGTGAAATACTCTTATATGGAATTTTTAATGTTCAAATGTTCAATATTGTGTGCTAATAGTTTTTATATTCTTGTCTTTAACTTAAAATTTGGGATGATGAAAAATATGGCCATGAGTGAGGAGTGAGATAGGTCCTCTTGTAAAAAGTGATGACTGATCTCAACCGTCCATTAGGGTTTATCAATGGTTGAGGGTTTTAGTAAAAAAACACGGGTCAATTTTGTAATTATTGAAAACTTTTAAGAGCTGGGTTCATTTTATAATTATTGCAAATTTGAGAGTTTAGTAATGGTAAGATCCTAGCCTTTGATTTTTCAAGATGGAGGGTGTTGTCTAGAATGTATTTGTAATATATATGAGACTCTGGTTCTCAATTGCTCAAAGGTCCTTTTAGTTGCATACTTTAGCTTGAGATGCTAAGGATATAAAAATCCATGTGATTGAGCACATCTAGGTTTCATTCTTATGCAGTTAGTTGTCTCTAAATACATTCATGTTTTATTCTTTTGACATATGATTGGTGTTGCAGGTACACAATGCTATTGCATTTTTGAAGATGATTGGTGCATTAGATGAACATGAGAATCTTACGCATCTGGGTATACACTGCTGACTGCCCTATGATAATTAAATGATTTGTGAAGTACTCTTTTTAAATTTTGCTTATGTATATGGTATTTCTTTGCTGTTTTTCCTTCCTATCAGGTAAATATCTATCGGTTCTTCCTGTGGATCCTAAGCTTGGGAAAATGCTAGTTATGGGTGCTATTTTCCATTGCTTTGATCCCATTTTGACCATTGTTGCTGGTCTTAGTGTCAGGGATCCTTTTCTTTTGCCTCAGGATAAGAAGGATGTAAGTCCAGTGCGACCATATGCCCTACAAGAGCAATGATTGCCCTATATTGCTTCTCTCTCTCTCTCTCTCTCTCTCTCTCTCTCTCTCTTCTCTTCTCCATGTAATGTATATACCATCTGCAGGATCCATTGACTAGCCTTTTATTTTGATCTTTTCCTATGATGCAGTTAGCAGGGTCAGCAAAGTCCAGATTCTCAGCAAAGGACTATAGTGACCACATGGCTCTTGTCCGTGCCTATGAAGGATGGAAGGATGCTGAAAGAGAAGGATCTGCTTATGAGTATTGTTGGAGAAACTTCCTTTCAGCTCAAACTCTTCAAGCTATTCATTCCCTTCGCAAGCAGTTCTCCTTCATCTTAAAAGATGCTGGATTGCTTGAAGCAGACACTGCAACTAATAACAAGCTAAGTCACAATCAATCATTAGTCCGTGCTGTCATATGCTCTGGTTTATATCCTGGAATTACTTCTGTAGTGGTAAGGCATCTTTGCTCAGAAATTTACTCGGTGCTCTTATTCCTTAATTTCAACTGATATGAGTTGTATTTCCCATCCTTCTGCAGCACAGAGAGATGTCAATGTCTTTCAAGACAATGGATGATGGTCAAGTTTTGCTATATGCAGTAAGTTTGAACGAGTGTTTAACATTTAGATACCCTTCTGGTTTCATAAAGCTTCTGATTTTGAATTTTGATTATGCATTGCGAAAAATTCATAATCAACTCTAACTCAGGGCCTTATGAATTACGGAGTACTTAATAAATTGAGAAGTTTGTACAATTCAGACTTCATGATCCTTGCCAAACAATGTAGAAACTTCATAGTTTAGTTGAAATCCAATCGGGATAAATATTCTTTACCAAACAGACACATAATAGATTGTTGTTTGGGCTATACACAAATTTAATTCCTTAACTGTTTCTAGAGCAACTTATTGTTTTTTAATATTTTTTACATTAAACTTTTCTATACTTGATATCAATTTTTCCTTTGTTTTCCATTTATCTAGAACTTGTGCTCCAATATATCATATTTTCCTTGTCAGTTTTAGAGTTATGATTGTCTTGCTTCATATTCCAAACATGTTTGTGCAAACTATAAATTTTCTTTTAAGCTCTATAAATTGCTGCCTAAAAGTTTCTTTCAAGTTCAAGCTTTCTGATAATCTCAATGACTTCATTTCAGAATTCTGTGAATGCACGCTATCAAACAATTCCATACCCTTGGTTGGTGTTTGGTGAAAAGGTGAAGGTCAATACTGTCTTCATACGCGATTCTACTGGAGTATCTGATTCAATTTTAATCCTGTTTGGGGGTAATCTTGGCATTGGTGCTACGGTAATACTTTCCCTACTGCAGACATTATTTTGGACGTGATAATTAATTGTTAATGAACTGAATATTCTCCTATAACTTGCGATTCCACTGTCTTATAGGGTGGGCATTTGAAAATGTTGGATGGTTATCTGGAATTCTTCATGGATCCCAGTTTGGCCGAGTGTTACACGAACCTCAAAGAGCAGCTTGATGAGCTTGTGCAAAAGAAGGTATTGCTAAGAATTAAGAAATGCTTTTCCTTATGATATTTTACTTTTCTATGAGATCCCATTCTTCGTGACGAGAAATAATATTAACTAATAACTAGACATGATTGGTATCCATTGAAAGGCCTAATATGTTAAGATGCTATTTCTTGTGTATATTAAGAGGTTTGGGGTTGAATGACTTTGACATTTGCTTTATTTACTCTCGTTTCAGCTCGAGGATCCTGGCAAGGACATGCACAAGGAAGGTAAATACCTCATGCTTGCCGTTCAGGAACTGGTCTCGGGGGATCAATGTGAAGGACGATTTGTGTTTGGGCGAGAGAGCAAGAAGCCTAAAGAGTGTGGTAAGAATGATAGGTTTACAAAGGATGGGACAAACCCCAAAAGCTTATTGCAAACTCTTTTGATGAGAGCTGGGCACCACCCTCCAAAATATAAAACAAAGCATCTCAAGACAAACGAGTTCAGGGCACTGGTGGAGTTCAAGGGAATGCAGTTCGTGGGTAAACCAAAGAGAAACAAAGCTCTGGCCGAGAAGGATGCTGCAATCGAGGCATTGGCATGGTTAACTCACACTAGTGACAAGAAAGGCGAAGAAGACGACAATTCCCCACCCGATGTGACTGACAACATGCTGAAACTCCTCGGTAAGCGCCGGAGGTCAAAACGACGCTCAGGTTGACATGGTTGGTGGCTGTAGCTGAATGACCTAATAAATGACTAATAAACCCGAACCCGAGTTGCAATCTGCCTTAGCTTGTGCTTGAAGCGCCCAAATGTCTGAATCTTGATAGTCATATCTGGGATCGTCACATCACATGAGTCAATAGAACACAGAAATATTTATAGGGTTATACCATTGTACAGGAATCAGGAATGTATGTACGAACTTTTTGATTGTTTCACATGATATATTATTTAGAGCGTAGGCGAAATAGTTGGATCGATTCAATTGAGATTGCTATATTGTGTCAGAATAGCACTAATTGGTATACTGTGAACTAGTGAACACCAAGATTGTAGCGTGCTCTAATTTAGAGCAGCATAAAAAAGTGTGATGAATATTTATTTCAAAGAAAACTTTTTCTGTTCGAAACAATGATTGTAAAAGTGTCACAATAATAATGTTCACGGGAAAATTTCAATTTTGGTCTACTGACTATTGTAGTTGTGTTAATTGCAACACTTGTTACACCGGCCAAATTATCGACGAATTGTGATAGAAAAATCTTAAATCAACATTTGAACTAAATTTGAAGGGGCAAAATGTCTTTTCTTGTTCCTTCCAATTTGGGAAAACGAATTGTTGACCAAAATACAAGGACAACCAAACCTGAGAAATCTCAGGGAAGTGTAGCAAAAAGGAAACTGGGTTGACAAGCTTCCCTTTCCACATAGTAACAATGTTCCAATCCTCGTTGACAGAAGCCATAGCAGCAGCAGCAATGAATTCAGCTAAGGATGTTTCATTCTCTGGTTTATAAGCCACGCCACCTGGAGATTTAATTAAACGGTGTAATTTTGATCAACAATTCGCTTTCCTAAATTGAGAAGGAATAAGAAAAAATGATTTTGCCCCTTCAAATTCAGTTTCAAAAGTATGGTTTTGTTTTGTTAGTAGTATAGATGTGCTCAATATATACGTTATTATTAAAACTAGTAATTTCACCCGTGCGATGCACGGAATAGATTTGTTGTAATATATTAAGAATATTTGAATAGATATATAATTATTTAAATTAGAACATCAAATACGGAGTATTATATAGTGCAACTAAAGATATGGTTTGGATCGTTTATGTATTTTGATGTCATCATTGCTTGAATTTGTACAAATAATTGCTCAAATTAATAACTAATGTCTAGATGTACACATGTGGTGTTATAACTTTGAAGATTTTATTTATCATTGTTAGTAAAATGTTTTCTTAAAAGAAAAGCTAAAATAATAAGCCATTAAGCTAAGGCTTCTTAAATAAGAGCCTTTTGGCTTCTCAATACATACTATACCCGCGTTGATGGGCAAGCAATTTTGTTTGGAAGAAGAGCATTGCTCAGAGCTCCTCTTTCCAAACATTTTCGATGTGGGATCAAAATGATCCCACATCATTTACAAAGGGGAGCTCGTGGTTCCGCTTTGTCTTTTTTTTTTTTTTTTTTTTTTTTTTTTTAAATAAAATTATTTTATATATAGTTTTGTTTTCATTATTATTATATTATTAATATTATTATTATTATTATTGTAATTTTATTTTATTATTACATTATTACATAATAATAATAACAATAATAATATAAATTTTCTTTTAGACAAATTTCTGCTGTGCGGCCAAAAATTAAAAAGAAAAATGCTTTATGAAAAATAACTCATTTTTCAGAAATTATTTTCCTACGTTCCAAACGAACTTTTATATGTATACAATTAATTTGTTAAATTGCATAATAATTATTAGATAATGGACTTTTTTGATTATTGACAAATTCACCAAAATTTTAACAAATTCGTCATTTTAACATTTTGTCTTTAATCAAAACACCAAAAATATTATTTAATAACTCAACAATTTTACTCCAAACTGCTAAAAACAAAAACAACACATATACATTTTGGGTTAATCTTTCCCGAACTCCCCTAATAATAAATAATAATTTCTTTTATTAAAAAAAAAACTAAAATAAATAAGTCATTAAGCTAAGACTTCGTAAATAAGAGTTTTTTGGCGTCTTAATACTTGCCCACATTGATGGGCAAGCAATTATGTTTGCAAGATGTGCAGTGCTCCTCTTATATCTAGGACCTCAAGAGCTCCTCTTTCATAACATTGTCGATGTGGAATCAAAATGATCCTACATCATTTCTAAAGAGGAGCCATTTGTCTTCTTATTATTCTTCATATTTTTTTTTTAATTTGAATTTTATTTTGTATATAGTGTTGTTTGGATTATTATTATTATTATTATTATTATTATTATTATTATTATTATTATTTTATAATTACATTATTACATATGATTTTTTATAATACTTGAATAATAAATAAATAAATAAATAAATAAATATAAATATATATATATATATATATATATATATATATATATATATATATATATATATATCAAGGTTGCAAAACACGTTAGGTGCTCCCAAGGCGCCAAGGGGGTGCCTAGCGCCAAGATCGCTTAGGCGCTGATTTTTTTTAAATGTAAAAAAATTAAAAATTAAAAATTATCAAAATTCACTAATAACAAAAGGTTCTCATCGTTTTTTTTTTTACAAACTATTTATTTAAGTGGCTATAAAATTGTTTAAAATATTTTTGAAACCATCTAAATACATAAAAAAAAAACTAAAATTAAGAGCAAAAGAAGTATTTTTTTGAGAAATTGGTGGAGCAAACTGCCTGTGGCTGTTTGCAGTGGGTAGATCTTGAAAAAATACGTGATTTGAAAAAAAAAATGACCAAAATCGACAACCGAGTCAAAAGTAATGCCTTCGCAAAATTTTTAAACTAAACCCTAGAAAGAGATATATGTTAGGAATTGGGCGGAAAGTTAAAGTTCAGGATTTTGTTTTTATATATAGTATATAATTGTATTACACTATTTTATAATATTAGAATAGGAATTTTAATTCTTCCAAAGTTATCGTACGAATAGGAAAGTAGAAAACAATATATTTTTATCAGAAAGCGAGATTTTTTAGGAATTGGGCGGGAACTTAAAGTTCAAGATTTTGTTTTTATATAGTACTAGTATTTTCACCCGTGCGATGCACGGAATGGAATTGTTGTAATATATTAAGAATATTTAAATCGATATATAATTATTTAAGATTTAATTTCACCAGAGGTCGTTTATCTTTTCTGACAATTCCAAATTTAATCCTAGACTATAGTTATTAATTATTACAATTTATTCTATGTTACAACTCTTACGTTAATATTCTTACTATTATTATTAACACTTAATTACTTTTAGATATTATTATTATCACTTATATTATTATTATTATATTATTATTATTATTATTATTAGTTTCTTTTCAAGTACTGTTAGTATATAATGGTCGTGAGGTACAATAATAATATAACCATAATTAAATATTCTTGTATTGTATTCCGGAGTTAATGCCGTTTTTGGTCCTAGACTTATTGAGGCATTGACACTTTTCATCCTCCATAATAAAAATTGCCACTTAGTAGACATTGTTATTGGTCGTTGGACAGTTTTGATCCTCCGTCAATGAAGCCGTTTGTTGACCGTGAATTAGAAGGGCTTTTCTATATTTTTATGTCTTATTCTTCTAATCTTGTTTAGACCAGCGCTGCTGTGACTCCTGTGAGGCGAGATGGCGAGACTTGGCGGCTAAGTAGTAACCGTCGGTAGTGAGTAGCAGCGAGGTTCTTCTCCGGCGAGTTGTGGGTACGGCGGCGAGCATACGAGGCAGTAACTCCTTCCGGCGACGGACCAGTAAGGCAGATCTGGCGGTGCAGCAACAGATCCGGCGAGGTTGGGGCCTTCACCGCTGGTTTTTGGTTCCGGCGAAGCAGAGAGGGCAGCAGGTCGACGAACCCTCCTATGGTAAATAGCAGTTGTAGTTGTAGATGGCGTGATGTAGAATTTGCACCTGTAAGTCCTCCCTTCCATATATATTGACCACAAATATCCTTCCCATATCTCTCTCTCTCTCTAACCACAACTACTTGGTGCACAACCTCAAAAACTCTGTTATTCTACCTGAAATTCATTGAAGTTTCAAGCTGAAAAATGTGGAATACGCCGCTCCCCAAAAATCGCATTGTCTGAGGTGTTGGAATGGCCGGTGTTGACTTCCTGGCTGCTGTAGCTTCATTCCCCAACCCGGATGATAAAATTCGAAGCACCAGCTTTGAGGTTCAAGGAGGTGGTAACACTGGCAATGCTTTGATAAAACCCGGATGATAAAATTCGTCTTGGTCTTAATCCAAGGATCATATATAAGGTTACTGATGACTCGCATGGCGAAAGAATACTTGATGAGCTTGAAAGGAATGGTGTTGATACATCTTTTATGGTGGTGTCCAAAGGAGGAAACTCACCATTCACATATGTCATTGTTGATAACCAAAAAAAAAAAAACTCGCACGTGCATTTTCAGTCCAGGATATCCACCCATGAAATCTGAGGGTCTACATACCCAAATCAAAATTGTCTTCAGCGCTTGGAGTAAATATTGCATACTTAGATGGAAGGCTGCATGAGACTGCTTTGATTGTAGTGCAGGAGGCAAAGAGTAGGGGCATACCTATTATAGTTGATGCAGAAAGGTTAAGGGAGGGGTTGGGTGATATTCCTGACTTTGCTAGTTATCTTGTATGCTCGACAAAATTTCCACAGGCATGGACTAACGCCCTTTCTATTCCAACTGCACTTGTTTCCATTATCTTGAGATTGATGTCAAATGTAAAATTCGTGATTGTTAGTTGGGTGAAGATGGTTTCTTAATGTTAGAAAAGACTGAAGCGGATAACCTCAGTTTGAAGAAATGGATGTAGCAGTGACCAATGGATGGAGAAATACAAGGATTAGAACATAAAAAGACAGAAAAACCCTTCTAATTCACGGTCAACAAACGGCGTCATTGACGGAGGATCAAAACTGTCCAACGATCAATAACAGTGGCTACTAAGTGGCAATTTTTATTATGGAGGATAAAAAGTGTCAATGCCCCAATAAGTCTAGGACCAAAAATAGCATTAACTCTTGTATTCCGTGAGTCACAATAATAATATAACAATAATTAAATATTGTTCAATTTTATATTCTTCTAGGATTTCTATTATCATCATTAATTATTCCCAAATTTACCATAATTAAATAATTTGACCAATTATAAAGAAAGAATATTAAATAATGCACGGGACAATTGTTTAATTAAAAAATTTAAAAATTCATTAATAAAACATAAGGTTCTCATAGTTTTTTCTTAGAAACTCTTTAATAAAGTATTTTTTTTAGAAATTGGTGGGCCAAACTGCCTATGG